ACGTGTTCGATGGTTCATGAACTATCATCGTCTATTAATTTCAAGAAGAGCTAGAGGCACTGTATCAATTTGCCCCTGTAACAACTAGCCCCGGTTTCCCCTACACTTGTAATACAAAAACTAGTTGATTTAACTGCAGTAATATAATGTACTGTATGCATAACTAATTTGTCTATATAATCTCAGATAAACATAGATAATGATATATATTAGCATGCATAATTTATAAACATTATAAATAAAGTTTGTTCATTGTATAGTCTGTACTTGAAGAATCCTATTTATGAATATAGTCTATGACTTCTAAGTGTCAAGAGGTAAAGATATTTTATCTTGTCATCATGGACTTCTTATAGTTGTACTACACTTTGTGTAGTTCAACTTGAGAAAAAAATTCAAATTAATGTAAATATATGGCCACTTTTAAACAACACAATTTATTATCTGAAAAAATCATAAGACAATGTTGCTACATTATGTTGATATTTGAAATCGAAAAACTGGCAGCAGTGAAAACTAAAATATACAGAAATATATGCAGGCACTATAGCTCTATATTATATAAATAAAACTACAAATTTAAATGAACATTTCTTCACAAGACAAACTATAACTTTATAACTAAACTGTAAATAAGAACCTTCTCTTACCTCCAACAATGCATGAACACCTTAACACATAGAAAAAAACAACAACAACTGTTTAATGTACATAAGGAAAAGGCATGTGATTTAGTAATCGAAGTTAACTCATACCCCCAACTCTCCTACTGGTGAAGTTCCCATGATCGTAAAAAAGATGAGTTTAGCTTTGTCTTGTCGGAGGTTTTTGATTTTGTAGATGTTACCTGCCAAAAAGAAAATATTTAGTAATTTCCAAGGTGGCAAAAATTATTCATTGTGAAAACAACAAAGATACACATCACATATTTGTTACATAAATTCTCTTATACATTATTGTTTAGTGTGTATGTTGCTCAAAATGTAAAGACCAGTGCAAGACTAGGAATGCCATTAAATAAGGTTGTTAAAATTTTAAAGTTTCTGATTTAGAGGATCAAACTATTTTAATGAATTTAACTCTGTGCAATATGAATCAACAAATTATATTTTGACCAAATGAAAGTCTTATAAAATCAATATCATAAACATCCATTAATGATGTTCTAGATTTACAAACTATAGCTTTGAATTAAAGCATGTGCTAAAAATGTTTTAATATACAAATTCCTAAATATAATTCAAATATTTTAAATGTAAACATTAACCCAACTATAGTGCAGATCACTGGTAAAATAACTTACCTTTTTTATTGTTTTTTTAATTAATTAAGCTAGCAGTCTGGAAGTGTTATGTACATCTATATTCTATTTTGTTTATTGCAGCCTATTTGATGAATATTGTGGTTCACAGTTGTTGGCAGAAAATTCCAGCAGTGAATATGGAGTATAAGTTCATCTCAAAACTGCTCAACTGATTGGTGAACTTGTGATTTTATTAGCTAAAGAAGGTATCTAACATTATTGCCATGTTTTCTGAACCAATTTTGGACATTGTAAGTCTATTATTAGATCACTGGTTAGGTTAACTATGGTCAGAAACAACATTCAGTCACACACTGTGTATAGTATAATTCACCTCTTTTAAGCCCTGCAAATGAATGATTCCCAAACTACTACCTCACCTCAGCAGCTGCACTGTTGGAGCATCATAAGATCAAGTCATGTTCCTTTTGTGGCTTTCTCAATATTTTTGCTTTACCATTAATAAACAGAAAAGTTGAAGACATGACTCACTGAACCACATTATATACTTACAATCATTCAAGCTTTTATAGATCGCACTAAGAACCATTTATGGTTTGTTTCTCAGTTTTTAAGCAGGATATAGGCTGTTATGATAGCATTTGTATTGTTTTTCACATAATATGGTTGAAAACAGGTGATTTCTGACTATTGTTGAAGGAATAAATCAGTTGGATGACACTGTCATGTCTGTTGCACTTTATAAACCTGTCTAATCATCTTTTCCTCAGTCAGAGGCAACAGTCTTCCAAGAAATAGACATATTCCATTTTTCATACCAGCCACAGTCTAAATGAATGCAATATTTTGCCTAACCTCCAGTTTCTTCCACATCATCCTCCAAACCTGGGAAGAATTCCAACTCAAGATGCTATGATCTCTTGAAATTGATCTAAGAAAACCAGTTCTTAGCCAGAAGATGAGCATACTACTATTATATTTTCAATTTTGAAAACATCAAGTAAAAAAAGAACATAAACTACGATCAGTAAAAACAGTTTTTAATATTACAATTAATGTTTTTATTAGATGGGCAGCCACTTTCATACCTCATCGAAAGATAGAGAAATAGATTCATATTGAATAAGATAATGAAATTTTTCCAAATGTGTGTACACGTGGGTTGTAATGAAGTGGTTGTTCTGTGTATGACCATATAAAAACATGCATTTATTTATTTCAGAATTTGTCCTGGCTATGAAATACAAGTATGAATATGATTTTCAAAATTATGAAACTTGAAAGAAGCAGTCAGTTTAAACATAAACATCTGCTGAGCATGATAAAACATAAAAATAATTTTTACTCAAGACCTGAACTGAGTATAGTTTCAACATTATCTTATATTCTTACCAAGCTCCACTTATAACTTTGATTTATTTTTCTATTATTTTATAAATATAGCTGAAATGATACAACTTATCCCTTTAGGCTCATACTTTTTTCAGTCATATTATGCTTAAAATCACCATCAACTAATTCAGGTTCAGAGCCAGGATCATCATCAGCTTGCACAAGTTCAAGTGATTGGAAGTGATTTGATGCCATTTTTGGTCTATTTTCTCATAAAGATTAAACAATTTTCAATTGCAAATATCACCAATGTTTTGAATGGTAATGTATGCCATGTTGGGTACAAATTGGCAGCTGAAATCATCATTTATGCAAATATGGCTCTGTCCATTGATCTTGTGCACTTGTTTCACATTTCTATCAAAAATGCTAACCATACTGTGTGGTCACCATATAGTCATGGGTGCATGTAAAGGGTTAAAGTCATAATATTATTATCAAACTTAGCTACAAATGGATAATTCAAGGTTAGGGTTTTATAAGGCTTACCTAGGAATAGGATGTTTTCCAAATAAACACGTTTTCAACTTACCTAATGGTACTACAAATGAACCATCAGTTTCAATTATCCAGGAATTGTTGTGAATACATACTTCCACCTTTCCATAAACAACAAGAAAGAACTGAAAAACAAAACAAAAAACATTCAGAAATTTTGATTTTATATCAACTTTTTCCATTCATCATATCTATATGTATTCAAATTTAAATGCCAAGACAACAAATAAATATAAAAAGTGAGCTATATATTTTCCTGGACAATTTAAATGTATGACAAAATAAGTTCTTAAATTATCTTCGATCAATACTAATGTTTTACAGTTGTCTTATTCTTTTGGATGCAATTGTTTGAGTTGTGTTGAATGCAACATTTATTGTTATGCAGATAAAAAGGCACAATTTTTTGAAATTTATTTCAAAAAATATTCATACTAATATCTTAAGAAATTTAAATTAATTGTTCATTTAAAAGAATTCTTAGGACTATAAAAACATTATGTTGATGGACTAACCATTACTTCCAACTCTTGCCAATTAAGGATTAGGAACAGAGTGGAAGTTTTCTTTTTTTTTATAATTAACCTGCCTTAATGGTTCTTACACTTACCAATGAATCAGTAGGAGCATAATGGCATGGTTTTTCTTGTAATGAATCAATCACTATAATTCCCATGGAGTATTTAGAGAACTGGAAGCTCTTACATAGTTTCAATGGGTCTTTTTTCTTAGCAGGAGAGCCTGTAGGCCCCCTCCACAATAATTGTGTATGATTTCGGACAACAACTATCAAAAGCAGGTTACGTGTGGTTAGGTTTCACTTCAAAAATCAAATAACATCATGTTGTTATTATATTATTAGTAGCTTGTCATTTCTTCAAGTTTTGAACTATAGTGTAGAATACATTTTATTAATTTTTATATCAAGGTGGATCTAACATGATCACATCATTGCCAACTTTTCTAATGATGGCCTAAAGTTTATAAAAAAAATTTTCATAACAATTCTTAAAACAATCACTGTCATTTAACAACTTTGGTTATGAGGTAATGCAAAAATGAATACATAATCTCAAAATATCTTACCATAACAACCATTCTTGTAAAAATCAAAACACAAAATAATTTTACTGTCTTGGTTTTATAATTATTACAGAACAAAAAATAAAGCTGTAACTATAAAATTAAAATAGGCCTTTACAAACGCTAATATTTTACTTACCTGAAAATGTATATCTGATAGATATTTACCTCTCTTTGCACATACCACTAGACTTGAGCTTTCTCCCACCTAAGGCACATTATAATGTGAACTGTGCTAGTGCATGATGTAATCATCATATGATGATAGTCATCCACCAAAAGGAGGGTGACACATCTTACATGCACAGTAGATCCTCTTGAGCACTTGCACTCGAAATTAATTTCATTGTTAGACAGGTCAAAAATAATGAGCACTAATAATGGGAAGGCTGGGAAGATATGCAGTGAGGTAAGTATCTATCGGAAATATGTTTTCAGCTAAGAAAAATGTTAACAACCAATAGAACTGACTTACCTTTTTATACACAATAGCTAGGGTTCCACACTGATGTAGTGGCAGGGACAGTGCAATTGCACAAATCTAGATGAGCTCCCTTTGGAGAAAGTGACTGAAGGTAAAATCCCATGGAGTATGACATCCTATAGTGGGGACTTACTAGAAGGGTAACACATGGGAGACTACATACATCTTATGCAGAGTGTACTCTTCACCAGGATGAAAGTATGAGAGGAGGAAGGCAAAATGAACCAAAGTGTTGAGGTAAAAAGACATGATTAACTAAGCATTTGCAGAGAACAAATAGGTTAACTCTCTCAACACGGGCTTGGTCAATTTGACCGATCATGTGACCTCTTTGTACTTGTATAGTCCTTATAGATTTGATACTACTAACTTTTAATATAGTATGTATATCTTTACAAAATTTGACAGTCTTTCAGTAAACATTACAAGTCTTTCACATACAAAAAAATTATTTCATGTTAAGATTAAAAATACTTTTCTTTCTCTCAAAAATCTCAGATTTGACTTATGTAATCTCTAAAAACTCCTAAATACATTTCAAATGTTTGTTTTCAGTAAAACTTTATATTTTATCCCTTATTTTCTCTACCCTAACTCTATACAATGTTGGCCAATTTGACTGACCCGGTAACCACCAAAAAAACAACAACATTTAAATTACCCTTTTTTTCCTAGAATGACTTCAAATTGTAACATGGAACTACATTTGTTTATCTTAAGTAGCTTTAAACTCATAACAGTATACACCTACTTATAATTAAATTTTATTGTTTTTTGCCCTTTAAACTGTGTAACTACTATTTATGCCATTATAAGTTGTAAATCACTTGGGGAACATGGAGGTCACATTACACTATGAGTTACATTATCCACAAGCTGCTCGCTTGGGTGCCTCATGAAACATTTCTATTATATTTTTATTTTTATAATAATAAATAAACAATGAAAATGAAAAACAAGAAATAAAGTATTTACTCAAATCTTCTTCTACTTGTTGTCAATGACACTTAACCCTACTTTTTTATACTAATAGTAGTAATGCACTAAATAATCTTTATTTCATTAAATAATGCACCAAAGAACATAGAATAATAATATGCAGAAAGCAGACAATTTCCCTTAACTATCACAATTTTTCTGGCTTTCTGATTATGCGACAAGAAGCATTACAAAATCATTCAAGCTAGTCTTTATCTTTCCCCTGGGAACAAAGCTTGTAGTAACAGTGAAATTGACAATTCTCTATAGAGAAAACTTTATAAAATAAGGCATTTGATAGATGAAAATATTGGCTTTCTATTGGGTACAGATAATATACAATTAAATGTAAGAGAGAATTATTAACAAATCCTGAAAGAGAAAATGTGGCAGGTGAGTGTGTTACGAGAGGTCTGATTTTCTATTTGATGGCTTTGTAACCAAACAAAATGGAAGGCTATAAAAATTATAGTTTGTCTGAGAAATAACGATTTTATAATGAGTAATTTACGTTGAATTTCATACTTATTGGAGGGGTGGTGGATAAAATATAGACGAGGAGATGCCTAGAGAAAATGTGTCACATGTGTCACACTGGGGGAAATTCTGGATTTCTAAAAATTTTGTCTTATAAAATTGAGAAGTTAAAACGTAAATACTGTTAAAATATGGATTATTAGCTAAGATTTTATGCTATACTAATTGATATAGCATAAACAAAAAGTAGATTAAAAAAATTTTGAATGTAAGTCACTAAAACCTCGTGACATGTGCAGTAAAGGATGTCCTTCGAAATAGAGTTAAACAATCACAAAGTTTTTTATTTTTTTATTTTAACCCTTTCCAGACAGGTCACGGGTGAAAGGCCATGTCATCATGTTTGTTGACTAGCATACAAAATTTTATTGAATTACTATTTCATGAATTTTTGTCAGTTAGTTTGGCATCAAATTGTAGATTGTAATTCATATCTCAGTACTATATATTACTCAATTTGAAAGTAAATATCAAAAAACACAGTTAAACATCGATTTTTGTCACACGGTATATTGAATGCAGTCTGTAGTTTCGTATGAATTAGGAACTCAAATTACCAATATTGACAAGCTAGAATATAAAATAAGAACCTCTTTTCAATTTGCTAAGATTTGCTCATGTAATAAATCAAACACAGTGGCACCCCACCTACCTCTTTCCATTTTAGTAAACGCTCCCTTATATATACTTATTTC